AGAGTCCAGATAGATTTGAAATAAGATTTTGAAATTAATTATAAGAATCCTTCCCATGGGAAAATGCTGTTGTTTTGAATTCTTAAAAAAAAATGATAGTATGGGACTTTGAAGGTTGGACACTAGAGGGAACCAGAAGGAACTAAAGATTACAATTAAAGGAGAAGAACACTTAAATTGGACATACTAACAGAATGGAGTAAAATACTTTAAAATTGGATGTATTGAAGGATATTTGTGAACAATGGACCCAGAAGTTAATTTTAAAAATGTCTGCCATTATAGATAGACTGCATTTAAAAGATGTCATGGAAGAGGAACAAATTTTACCAGACAAGATTGAGACTGATTTGGAAGTGGAATTAAAAATGACAGGCTACCAGAATGATATGGAAAAATATGCTATACTGGATATACAGATAAAACCAGCTGATGTCTTAATAATTAAAAGGGATACACAAGTAACAAACCAAAAGAGTGACCTGGATAAATTTTTATAGACCCCTCAATTCAAATAGTTACTATTTTTTATGCTTAACAGCTTTCCCTTTCTTTCATTCATAGCCCCAAAACTCAAGGTCTATTAATTTGTTGTTCTCTTTCAGGATCATGTATACAAATATACTGCACCATGCCTGCTTCCCTGCTTTCACCTCTCATGCCTACTCTAACATTTCATTATGTTTGCTTCACCCGTCACTCTCTCCCCATCTGCCTGTCCCAAATTTCCTGCTTTTCTTTTCCGTTTCATTTAAATGAATACTTGTTGCGTCCTTTTTTACTAAAATACAGTAGGTACAATTCTTTCTTTGAAGCCACAAGGTGTGTTTCATCCTCCATCTGCCATTTCTACATCTTGATAAACTCTGTAGCTCTGCATGGACCTACAGGCATTAACTGAGGTGGCTCCATTATTATTCACATCCACTCTTTGCCTAATATTTGTTCTTTTTTTAGCCTTTGTTTTTATAGTTTTTAAAGTTTTTAAATAATAATAGTTCTGTATTTTTAAATGGTTTTTTAGCCTTGTTGTACATCGCCCAGAGTCACTTGTTTGTGAGATGGGCGGCCATATAAATTTGACTAAATAAATAAATAAATAAAACAAAGAAACAAACTATACAGATAACAAACCAAAAAAGTGACCTGGATAACTTTCCTATATTGGATTTACAAAAATGTCTAAGTTTTGAAGGATTTTGTGAGAAGGGACAAAGAAAAAATGAAAAGAAATCCAGTTCTAGGACATTATTTGAAGAGACTAAAGATCACGATTGTTAAAGGTAAAAGGAAGGAATATAAAGTTGGTTGTTTATTTGATCAAGGTTAAAATAGATATGATGTTATCTCTGGTAACCCTTGATAGACTTTTGCTAAC